TGTGTTTCAGGAAGAAAGTCACAGAGTTGCGGCAGTTTGACGCAAGCCGGGCCTCCAGAAATCAGACGCATGATCTTTATATGTGTATACTGTATATTTACATTGGTGTGTAAAAATCGGTCCCCGCCGGATGTGGTTGGGGTCTAACGCTGCTCCGGTCTAATACCAGACTTGAGATCGGTGCTACATTGTGCAAATACACATCCCCACTGCGGAAAACCGGGTCCCTGGCCACATCTGCCCGCATGATGGACCCTATTCAGTCAAACTGAACCACCACGTGTTCTGGGATGAGACGCCACTCTTAACAGTGTGTCAGAATTCACAGAAATGGAAAAAAAAAAAAAAAGTTGCTACAGAGTGTATTTGATCACAAGGTCTATTTTTCCAACGTCTTACACGCATGACACACAATTATTCAACCGTTTGCTTTAAAAAAATACAGGCCTGTCGTTCATGATTTAAATATGAATAACTTATGTAGAAACATTAATAAGGCCTGTTAGTCATAATTTAAATATGATTACAGGCCTCAGTATAAAATGTAATACGTAGATGAGCAGTAAAGAAGCAGCATCACACAAACAGTATTATGACCAATACACAAAAAGGCAAAACTTTGTACAGTGTATAAACCTCTAAGAAACATGTTTCACAAGTAAATTGTAAGTAGATATTTTTGATTGAACATAGAAGTATAAGGTGAGTTTGAGGCGTGACTTTACAAAATGTTGTAAACATTCTTTTGTATTGATTTCTTGACTGAATAGGGCCCTGGAAAATACAGCTGAAATCTACTGTACAGTGAGCAGAACACAGATTTACAGACGAACATTTTCCTCAAACATTTATAGAAACCGATGAATGAATAAATACACAAATGAATCAAACAATTAAATAAATAATTACATAAATGAATGAGTAGATCCGACTGGTTGAATCTTGGTTGGTAGGAAATGGTTTGTGCTTTGCTGAGAGTTAACACTATAAAGTTTTCTAATGCCCAGACGTGGGCACAGCAGCAGGCCGAAACTTGTCTAAAAGTGACAGTGCAAATACCTGAAAACTAGGCCTCGTTTATCAAACACTCACTTCTTGGGGGCAATGGAAACTTTTGTGGCTGAGAGGGCAGCAGCGGTGGTTAGCTTAGTTTCAAGCAGTCGCTATGGAGATAAATCCAGACAATTCAACAGAGTTATAACCAAACCAATTATAACCAAAAATCTTCTATTCTAGAGCTACTTTATATTGTTTGGAAATCTCTGGCCTGATGTAGGCAAAGACAGGTAAAGACTTTCCGGAAAACATATTTATCACTTGTTTGTGGTTTTAAGCTTTAGATTTAAAAACTGTAAATAGGCTAAAAACAAACCTATAGGACAGTCCACCTCTTCTGCTAACTCACTAGTGTGTGATCTCCTGATAAATGCCAAAAAAGTGTAAATCAGCCACATTTCCACTGACTGGTATGAAGAGAACAAACCAGGTTAGATAAATGTTTTTCCACGAGTGGCATCTCTGCAGAAAAAAAGATGTTGTCTATAACCAAACAAATCTGTGATGGACATCCAGATATGAACTTTTGAGAAAATATTTTCCGTTGAAATGTACTTAATCTCTGGGAGGACTTGGAAATAATCTGGGACACATGTTTCCTTTTTTTCACAGTTTGAGGGTTTAGGACTGTAAACAGCTGTAATGTGCATTTTAGTTCAATTTATGACTGGTGTGCATCAACTCATCTTAAAAACAGGTTAAAACAGATCTGAAAATTTTATTTAAGCTTCCCTATACAATAATGAACGTTTTTGATTGACATTAAAGTGATTTTTCCTATTTTTATTTTTTATTTCGGTTTTTTATCTTTAAAAACTGTATAGAAATAGAAACCCGTTTCACCAAATTTACATTGATAAACTTAATAGCAAAATTCTAAGACAAGATGTTTTTTTTAAGTTGAAAAGCCTTTACCCATTACATCAAACAATAAACTAAACTGACCACCTCAAACTAATGGGAGAGGAGACTTACAATTAAATAAATAGTAAATTTTTGACAGAGTATCTTAAAATATGGACCAGTGATGGCTTTCTTTTGCTTTGTCTTTATTGGTATTAATAGGTTTTTCTTGCTATAATGTCATTTTTTATCTCTTCTATAAGAATGTGGAAGGTCTGGTCCAAACAATGAAACCGCTTTAAAATAGTGGTGTGCGCAGAACTGAAAGGCTGAAAACTAGATCTAATTCCACAAGAGGGAAGTTTAAGCATGTCTTTTTTCTCCTAAAGCTACAAAACCTCTCAGTCTTCCTTTAAGGACAACATTATAAAGTATTTAGGCTTTTTTCTCATCACTTCCTTAATGTAACCGGCGCCTTAACAGAGAAACTTAAAATATAAATGAGGGATTTAAGTTCACATTAAATGCACTGAACATGACTTTGGTTTAAATCTGAGGGACCAGGCAGTAACTGAGTTATAGTAGGTGAAAGGTCCACAGTTCAGGGCATTGGGAATTTACTTAATTAATTCATGGTAAATTCAAACGACTAGTATAATTAAAAATCCCGTTTATGTGGCTGAAGGTGTGTCTGAAGTGACAAACTCAAAGGCGCCCTGTCAGTGGATTTGGGGGCTGCCCGCTTCTTAAAATACACACTCTGTGAGCCGCTCACATTTGAGGGGCGCTGTCATCTGACGTTTCCAGTTCAGAGTGGAATCATCCAGGAGCCATCAGCTTTTCCACCCAACATCAAATCCAAATTGTGCTGAATTTGCTCTACTCATAAAGTGGAGAGTCTGAACTCCTGCCTTTTTTGCTTTAATATTGATAGCGACGTTTCATCAGCAATTACATAGTTCACTCAGATGTTTTATTTACATTTTTTTCGCCTCCCCCGGTACAGAAAGCTAATTCTGAGTTCCTAATTGTCACCGAGTGCAGCTTTAGAATCATAACGGGGGTTTTTCACACCACAAAAACAAATTCTGATGAAATCGTTTAAGTGATGCTTCCCGATTTCAGCCTAAAATTTAAAACACACAGTCTGTGGAGCCTGTATGCTTTCAGGAGCATTTCAGGATGATTTGGACTGATCTATGAACTGCTGACTGCTGTTATATTACAGTTACTGCCGTTGCCTTTTCCCGTCAGCCTGGATTTAGAGCGTTTGGCTGACGTTTTTTTTTTTAAGCCAAATGTCCTTCATGATGCAATCCTAGAATATTTCACCCAGACTTGTACACAGAACACCGCCTCCCATTTGAGGCTTGTGTACATCATCTTGCCCAAAGACTCCTCGAATATGTTGCCTGGGATTCAACCAATCCTAAACCCCCATTGACAGGAAACAGATCCTACACGACCCACAAAACCCAAACCTAAATTTCCTTCTAAAGGTAATAGATCCCATTTTCAACTCAAACAATAAAGCTGTAGTTTGACAAGTTGCTAATAAAAGCATAAATACTAGTCTTTTAAACATTTAGTGACAGATTTTCTTTGAGATGCTTTTAATTCTGGCTACTTTTTGTGTTTAGCGTATCGCTGTTTTTCAAACCCTATGTTTCAGAGCCACCTTTAATGCCTCCAGGAGGTGAGTGTTTGATTCCGGCTCTCCTCTGAGGAGATGAGTCGCTACATGTTTCTAAACTTTACGAGTTATTGATCATTACTGGCTTAAAGTTTGAGCTCCGTTACTGCTGGATTACTAAACTGAAAAAATGTCCGCACAGTCGTGTGCAGCATTTCCTGTTTGTTTGTTTTTTTGTTGTTTTTACTGTTCTGTGCACATATTCACAGTGAGTTGCTACCAGAAAAGTGTGAATCAACTGAGCTGACAGCAACCAAAGTGCTATAAATTCTAAACCTGCAGTTTGGCAAAGATTTTGTTATGATTAGTGAGAAAAGGTAAAACTGGCTTACCAAATATTACTGGCTTTAAAAAAAAAACATGGCAATACAGAACAGAGTGAGAGGTAGAGAGAAGCAGAAAAGAAACAAATGAAAAGAACAATCTTTAAGAAAGCGCAGTAGAAACTCACAAAAACGGAAAAAAAAACACACCGAGCAGAAGTCAGGCTTAATAATGAGATGTGTGTTTTTGACTTCTGGGCATTTCCAGAACCCACAGTGGACACAGTGCCAGTGAACGCTGTCTGACAAAACAGTAAGGCTGGTTCTAGTCCCTGTTGCATTTGATTGGACCAGACTCGCGGGAAAGCACAGCTTCCTCTCCGAGTCAAGGCAGGTGGACGGAGCAGAGGGTCTGGGAAGATCTGGGGGGATGACGGGTTTTTCTTCCTAATGGAACGTGACGGTTGAGGTGAGCTCGTGTGGGAGGGGCCAAGCCCTGAGTGTGGGACAACGGCGCATGCTTCTTGTTAAACTAACACATGCTCCATTTATCTTTTTAAAAAGGAAAGAAACGAGAAAGAAAGAAAGACGTTCACTCCGTAACAAAGAACGTGGCGCCAGGGCCGGAAAAGTTTTTGTACAAAGTCCCAAACCTCCCGTTTCTGCAGGCCCAAAAATAGGAATCTGAAAGTTTGATTTTTTTTTTCACATTGGTAGGTAAAAATTTCCTCCTGAAAAAAAAGACTCCGCTCCTCGCATGTAAACATTTCTATATAAAGAGATGTGGTTTCGTGAAAGATAGAGGAAGTGGAAACGGCGAAAGCAAACACATGGTCAGTGTTTACAAAAAAAACAACACACGGCTTCTCCAGCTCGGACTTTCTCAGTCTGAAAGCTCTCCTGGTCTCTCCTCCTGGTCACTCAAACCACAACTATCACCAATAACAAACCCCACATCTCGTCCTATCTCTCCTGTAAAATGTGGACACGTCCGAGTCGAGTTGACCGCTCAAACTCCGCAGACAAACATGGCCGCCAGAGCAACATGAGGAGTCCAGCGTGCTCCTGTGAGCTCCCAGTGAAGAGTAGCGAGAAGCTAAGGCCGGTCAGCTTGACCGGCTGGTGTGGAGGACTGGCCGCGGCCTTCAGATCCGGCTGACTCGTCTGGTGAGGAGGGGGTGGATGGCCGGGGGGGGGCAGGGGGTGTAGGGCGGCGGCAGGGGGCCCGGCTTGATCCCCCGGGTCCTCATGTAGGAGAGGAACTGGTCGGGGATTTCGGCGAGCACTTCTTTGGCCAGACGAGCCATGCTGAGGATGTGGTTACCTCGCCGGTCAATGTAGTCTCTGAACGGGACGAACTGGAGGGAGAGGAGTGGGTGAATAGTGAGAGAATGGTAAAAAGAGGGCGTGAAATGACTGAACAGAGAGAAAAGAGCTGATGGACTCTGAACAGGCTGAAGCTCAGGAGCCGTGACCTTTCCCCGTTAATTATAAATCCCACATTTCTCTGCGGACGTTCTGCTGAGCAGACGGTCTCAGAGCTGCTGGACCATGTCGCTGGGATTCCGCCGTACCTGAACGATGTCTCGCTCTGCGAACCGTCCCTGGGAGGAGATTCTCTCTTCATCGCCATCCAGCTCGATCATTTCTGCAAAAGGCAGCACATCAACATGGTCATTTTAGGCTCACCGTCCACCATATGTGCAAAAAACACGTACGAAAATATAGAAATATGCATATCATATATATATAAATATGAATATATACAAATATATATACACATATATATGTATCTGTGTGTGTGTGTTTGTGCTACAGCAAATGTATAAAAGAAGTACACTCAAGAATGAAAATGAACAAAACACCTCAGAGAGGACAGAAGTGATTTAGCATACCTCTGTTTCTGCGGGGGGGAGGGGACGGGAAATTACAGGGAAAGAATGTGGCAGAGCAAAAAGAAAAAAAGCAGGGAAGCTGCACACAGAAAAGGCTGAACCATGTGGGAGACGAGATAGGAAGTAGAGCGAAGGTTGAATGCGAAAGATTAGCACATGCTAATTAACACACAGCAGAAAAAAGAGCGGGCGCACACGAGATCTTCTCACCGTCGAATTCCGCCGGTCCAACCCCGACTATTATAATCGACATGGGCAGAGAGGCAGCCTGTGCGGGGGGGAAAGGACAGAACAAACGCATCAAAGCCAGCAAAGGCACATCGCTCAGTTTATTCACCGTTTGCTATCTTAAACCCTGCAGGCAGGCGCTGAAATCTCCCCACAAATGACTAACCGCCTGCTAAACGGAACATTCTGAGGATGGGTGGCTCACTATAAAAACGCCATTGTTAAGACAGACAGGGTTCACCCAGCTCCACCTGCCCTCTGCACCCCGTTTCATCAGGCCTCTCACACAGCCAATTTGAGAGCTTTTTTTAATTTCATGCATCCACAACTTTGTCAAAATCTCTGTTTAAAAATGACTCCCATTTACATCTTCCTCCGCCACGAGCCCCGGCTGAACCGCCAACCGGAATCGCAATATTCTTTATTAAATCTCCTTTGAGTGGGGAAGCAAAACCCAGTTCAGTTGAGGAATGATAAATGGACGTTTTGCACTGTTTCATAACTTCCTGTTGTTATTAAATAGAGGCCCCGGATTGCCGGGGAAATTATTGGTGTGGAATCGCCGCGGGCCGCTAAGTAATTACTCTCAAATCTTACTTTACAATAACATCAAATCACAGGGGGGCTGTGGGGGAGGCAGCGAGCGGCGGGCGCTCCGGGGGGGCTTTGGGATGCGAGCGCGGGCAACTGGGGTTTGGAAAACGATGCGCACGCCCCAAACGCTTGTACATGTTAACTGTGATCACATTTATTATCAGAGTAGGGCCTCTCTCATTAGTGAGGAGATGGGAGGGGGTGCAGAGAGCATTTTTACAGTTTCCCTTTGGACTGCTGCTGTCCTCGTTATGATGGATCTCACCCGCTGACCCACAGTTTATTTACAGTCACTTTAAAAGGTGACATGTGACACGAAGCATGACAGACGTGGAACAAACTTAACCCTAAAATGCCAAATGTATCATATTTGATACATACTTCAGACTAAAAAAATCCAATATTCTTCCTATTTTTCTTGGATCAGGCTTTAAAGTGTTAAATCTGTTTTGGGGGGCTTTTTAATCTGTTTTTGGGGCTTTAAAAAGCTGCTTTTTGTGCTTTTAAAGATGTTTTTTGGGGCTCTTAAAGCTATTTTTTGGGGGCTTTTAAAGCTGTTTTTTAGGGCTTTTAAAGCTGTTTTTTGTGGCTTTTAAAGCTATTTTTTGGGGGCTTTTAAAACTGTTTTGGGGGTTTTAGCCCTATAATGCAAATGTGTCATATCTGATCCGGTTTCTTTTGGATGTGAGACTTTCTGCATCATTCAGTGGTAAAAGCTTTGCTCAAACCCCTGTTGTACACATTCAGATATACCTGATAACAGCCAGTAGAAGACTACCGCAAAATACATTTTTGACTTATTACACGCTAATTTGATCAAAATAATGTCTGTTTTCTTTTCTTTCATATGTTGTTGAGGGGCCAAAGAAAGACTTCAGACTAAAAAAAATCCAATATTCTTCCTATTCTTCTTGGATCAGGTTTTAAAGGGTTAAATATAAAGGGATACTGTACATTGACTATGGACTCCTTGGTCTGCGCCATGTCCGTGATCACGCCGTCGGAGATGATGAGCAGGATGAAGTACTGCGAGCCGTCAGTCACTGCCGACGCGTACCTGAGAGGGGTGAGAGAGGGGGGGGGGTTAGGGGGGAGAACAGAGCTGGGTTCAGATGGAGAGTCTGCATAGAAAGTGCTCCATCCCACACTAAATCTCTCCGACGGGGGAAAAAATCTGGCTTTATCTCTTCTGCCGAGGCCCTTCAAGGCTCATGTGCCGCTAATGCGGTGACGGTTGGATTTGTCCAAGGAGTGAGGTTTATGGAAACATCAATTTCACGGACTTACAGACATTAACTTGTTGACTCGCCCCTCAGTGAGTCCCTGCTGCCCGCCCGGGCTCGGTGGCTCAGCGGTAACCTTATTGCAAAAAAATCTCATATCAGGATATCACCCCTCGGAGATAAATAAGAAGCCTGATCTTATTTGGAAGGGGACAAAACGGTCCAGTTAGCGTGTCATTACTGTTGCCGAAAAGAGCTAATGGTATGTGAAATGTAGAATGGAAACAGTTTTTTTCTGTCTTTTTTTTTAGTTTGCGGGGTTGTCTTTTGAATTTGTCTACAAAGCCCAACGGCAGAAACTAAAACGAGAGCGAGCTCAAATCAAACACTTATTGATTTGGGAAAAAAATTAAGGGAGCCAAGACAATCTGGCTGAGAGCAGCTGAAGCCGAGAAGTATGAGTATATGTACGAAGGGAGTGGTGAAAGTAAAAGCAATCAGACCAAAACTTTAATATGAAAACACAAGAACTAAGACAACAATCAAAACTTCTTACAACCGAGCGGTTACCTTGTGTGTTACACTCTGACCATATGTGTTATATGTCTGCTGCCGAATGGTTTCCAGAGGACTAAAGTTCTATTGTGAGTCCTGAAAATGGCTTTTCACCCTAACCTCACACATCTGAGTTGAGCATGAACCCTGAAAACACCACTACCTGAGACAAAGCAGACCCCTCCATCTGAGCTAATAGCTCTGCTTGACATTACAAATAGAACAATATTTTAAGATCCACTGCTTTTTATTCATATAGTCTCTTTGATAAAGAAGAACTGGATTTTAATTTGTTTTAAAAATAGGTATCCTGGCTAAGATATCTGCTCGGTCTTGTTCAAAAAGTCATGATCAGCGAAAAGCAAACAGACCTATGGAACACAAACAGTTCATTCAAAGGTATAAAGACAGCGATCTAATGAGGGACAATGCTTTTCAGCATGTATTTTTATTTTTTCTATCAGAACAATAAATATATTGGAAATAATGTAAGTCTTGACTGAATCTGATCCGTTATAAAATCTCGTCTATTTAGCTGAGTCCTGTTTTCACTTCTGTAATCCATGGTTGCACGCTTGGAGTTTAACAACTCTCTCAGTACTTTAACAACCTCGTATCTTTGCTTTTTTTTCATTTCTTTGAAGCCATAACAATGCATTTTTACACAGATGGTTGGGTGATGCTTTGTAGTAAAAGTGTGAATCTTTTAAAAGAAAAATGTCATAACTCATATTTAATTTAGACATCGTATACAGAAACTTCATAGTAGAGTTAGATTAGGTAAGCACACCTCCTCTAGTGTATTTTGTTTCTGTGCTCTACCAAATGATCGGGCAGGATGCTAAAGGGTTGGGCCAAGGCCAGGTCAGGCGATCAGGAAATGGACGTAAGACTAAGAGAGTATTTTACGCCAGCATGTCTCTGGCTTTGAGTCAGATGCTCCACAGAAGTGAGCGCTGAACAATGCAGCTATTCTGAGGCTGAGTGGGCGGACGGAGCTCGCGGAGGGAGATGGGATTTGAAAGCCAATGATGAAAGGTGGGAAAAAGTGCTTGTTACAGTCAGTCTTGAAGATCATGAGACAGGATCTGGCAACAGGGGATGTCAGGTGGGAGTTGGAAGAAATCGTGCTCCAAAAGAGCCAAGAACCTTTTTTTTTTAATCAACTGTTATGTGTGTAAATCAGTTAAGTGCTTCTGCCAGTTTCTCTAAGTCTCTGCAAGAGTGTGCATTAAACTATTCTGAGAATCTAAACCAGATTAGAGGCTTTGTGCGTTTGTTGCTCCACAAGACATTAAAGGACCAGAGGGTCACATTTGTCTCACATTAGTCAGGATTAGTTTATTTTGCAAAAAGTGTGAGGTTTGTAGTTGCTCACACGGATCTTTGTTAAGAAGCTGATGAGGAATTTATTTTCTTTTCTTCCATCTGTCCCTGAAGAACATCTCCACATTGTTCCAACAGGCATTGCTTTTTCTTTGTGGCGTTTTCTTGTTTGTTGAGTTTTTTTTCTTTTGTTTCTTTCGCTCACCTGGCCACGTGGTTGATGACGGGGGAGAAGTGGGTGGGCCCGTAGAGACGCACAGATTTCAGGCTCTGGTAGTAGGCCTCCATCACGCCGTCGATGCCGTTGCAGTACGGGTTCTGGGGATTGCCGTTCTGTGAGAAAGCATAAAGCGCATCCCATTTCTTTAGCTCTAATCCATGACAGGGAAACTCAGACCATGAAATTCTGCTGCTGTGGGATAAGATATTTCAAAAGGATTTCCTAAAACGCAGTACAAGAGTTTTTTGTCAGGTGATGATGCTAGAAAATATAGAAAAAAAGAACTACTTTTATAACTTTTTTATAAAAGAAATAAGAACTATATAGTCCCGGAATACAGGCTCAAGAAAAAAAAGCTTTGAAGTACAACACATTTTAAGCAGATTTCCTTCATCAAGATTAGACACAAGCGTAAAAAAGACATTAAAAAATGGCCACCCCGAGGTAAAAAAACAGCAATACTTAAAAATGTATATGAAACTAACTATAAGAGTCACAAAAGGGTTGTAAGCATTTAAGGGTGGGAAATCCAAGCCTAATTGAAATATGTTTCGTGTCAACTTGTAACATTTCAGGGGTAATAAGATGAAAGCCCTGATGAATCTTTCAAAAGCTGTACCAGAGGCTGTAAAAAGATTATTTCTTTTGCCACTACGGCTAAATCGTGTTTGTTTTTTGTTGTGCTGACTGACAATGTTTCACACAGAAAAAGAAAAAGCATTCTTTCAGCTGCACATATGCTCTGTGTTTTCTCTTTTACATCAGCAAGAAACCATCTTGACTGACTGTGCTTGGCTGAGCACGAGCACGGGGAGAGCTCTCCGACTCCTCAGCTTTGCAAATGGAGCTTGCGTAATTGCGCTGGATTGAGCGGTGGCCTTCTCCCACTGCTGCCTGGCAGCTGGAAGTTGATTCTGCAACGGATAGATTAACGCTTGTGTGCTTTGTCTCAAGGTTCAGTGGCTTTGGGGAGGCTGAGACTCAATGCCAGGCAGCTGTAATGAATGGAAACGCCTCTGGAGAAACATCTGGGAGGGAGAGGAGATCAGGAAGAACGTTCTAGAACGTGAGGAGGGGTCAGGATGTCTGGGAACTTTCCGAGTGCGTGAAACTGGGACCGTGGTTTAAATGGATGGGTGGACGGAGGTTGGAATTGGGAAATGGAGGATGAACGATGGAAACCAATAATTATATACAGCTAAGTGCTTTTAGACCGCTAAGGCTTAGGCTGGCATTATAAAGCAAACAGATAAATAAAAGTGGTGTGTTTTCGATGCCAAAACGGAACAAAGTCATTTGGCTTCCACCAGCACATAATGTGCACTCAGTTTGGACGCTTTCCTTCAATGTTGGACGGCATCTTTCACCACCCACTAATTCACTGTTGCCTGTTATTATTCATGTAAGTATGACAACGTCTATGTGATTAGTCTCATTTCAGAGCAACACTAGGGCGTTTTATTAAACTTAAAAATATGTTCTTCTAACTTATTCTGCAGCACACTGAACTTTGTTGGATCCTTAAAACACTCCATAGGATGTCGAGTGTCTGAAAACTGCAGTTTTGCCTCGAGCCACCCTATTTTTATTATTTTTTTAGTCTTTGTTAGCTTTTCATGGTGTCTGCAGCCTCTTCAACGAGACAATAAACAGGCTTGTTGTAATTTCCAGAGCTCAAACCGAGATCAGTTGATATGACAGAGGCCTATCATGTCTTACCTGTAAGGTCGATCCAAGGAATGAAAAAATATGCCAAAGCGTTGCTTTATTAGAAAAAATAAAACTCTACAACACCATCATATTTTATCTTTGTCCATCTTTGATGAACCGTAATACAGTTAATACTGCTAAGTAACTCTTCCAAACTAACATGATAGCAGCTAAACTCTAACTATCCCATTTTAAGAAAGATTGCAGCACATAGAAACTCAATTACAGACATCCACCTTTTTCTATACTTTGAGTTTGACTCAGTTTCATTAATGAATAAGTATTCATTTGCACGTTTTACATGAGTTAAGGTTCATTTTTCTCCAAAAACATTGGAATGCTTTGTAAATATCTATCCATCCATTTTCTATGCCCCCAATGGGTCGCGGGAAGCCCATCCCAGCTGACAAGGGGTGAGAGACGGGGCCATCCTACGGCAGGGCCGCACAGAGACAAACAACCACACACACGGTTTTGTGTATCTAAGAGAATATACTGTATGTCATGCAAGCTTAAAGTGAAAAATTCTGTTCTTTTTCAAATTTATATTGATGCTGGCAACAAAAATATTGGAGTTTTCCACCATTCTTCTTTTAATTACAAATGACAAATGACAGTAGTGACATGTTTTTCCAATCTTACGTCAGCTTGAGCCCACAAAGGGTGAAGCTGTTTCTGAATCTTATTGACGTCTGACGTCTGTTTCTTTTGAGACTTGCTCTTGAAGAGAAACTTGTTAACTGACAATAGTATTTCTGAGCTATTACATAGCAGAACCCCGCCTGCTTTTCATGCAGTGCAGCCACAGGGTGGCTATATGTGCCAATTTCCAAGCCTTTTGCCTTACTTACAGACACTAGGAGAAAAATTTTCATCAATTGATCCCAAATTCAGCCCTCTTTGAGTACTGTATTGCTTGGTGAGCATTCTAAAAAAAAAGTGTGTAGCAGCACGAAAATGATGCTTTCGATAAATCGTAGGGAAAAATGAATATTCTAACAACAAAACACCCAAACCGTTCTCCCCTCGTACTCTGGCTTTTCCCCACAGTCCAAAAACATGCATGTTAGGTCAATTTGACACTCCAAATTGCACCTGGGAGTGTGTCTGGTTGTCTCTATGGGCATGGGGTCCCCCTCAACCCGGAATTATAGTATATTTTTTAATTGTGACTTGTAAAACCACTTTTATTTTCTTAAATGCATTTTATTGTGCTATTGTAGGCATTCTATTCTATTCTTTTTTTTTCATTTCACTGTTTGATCAAATTATTCAACTGTACACAACAAGTCTGTTTTTCTTAACAGTGAAAACAGTTCATACAGTAATAAAAGAATCTCACACCCTGGGGAGACATGAACATATAAAATATATATTCAGAAAGTCGGTGGCTAGTTATGGAAAACCCATCTACTCACCAAGGGAAACTCGTGAGAGACGCGTCCATCCGGGGGGAGTTTGGCACCAAAGCCCAGTGCAGGAAACAGCTTGTCACTGTCGTAGTCCTGGATGATCTCCCCAACGGCCCGCAGAGCCATGGCATAGTCGTTCAGCTGGTACGGACTCATGTAGTGGAGCGATGTGGGCTGGGAAGGGTTGCCTGGGTCCCAGAAGCAAAACCAAACCCGGGTCAGAATCACACCGTACCTGTGACTGCTCACTCTGACTTTAGACTCATTACTCTCATGTTTTCAGCCCTGAAGCTCCACCACTGGGCTGATTGCTAATTACCCTCACCTGCACGCTGCCGCTCCCTATTTAACCAGCTGCTCATCTGCAGCTCAGTGCGAGATCGTCTGTTGCTCTGGTCACAGCTTTCAAGCTCTGTTCCTTGTTCCACGTTCCATGAAGTTTTCTGGTTTTTTGACTCTGCCTGTTCTTGACCACAGATTTTTGCCCAGTCCTCCTGAAGAAGTCTGATCTCCTGTGGCCGAACCCAGCCTCCCTCTGAACCTGCCTCCAGCCTTCCGTTTATTGGATTTTCTGTACCTGAGCCCCATCCGTGCATGACCTGGACTGATTCTACTAATGAGACTCTGGTTGGTTGTTTTTGTCCCAGTTTTTTCCCCGAGCTCCCCAGTCAACTCCTTTGCCCATTCTCCCCAACCTTTGGACTCCCCATTTCCAATCTACCTGTGAGCCCACACCCTCTAGGGCCCCTTTTTCACGTTTGTTCTTATAATAAAGGTTTGGAGTACTGGACACGTGTTTTGGCTCCGTTCTGGGTTCAGACTATCACTCAATTATCGTTACAATTACAGAAAAAAACTAAGTGCTATTAAGCAGCTACATTGCAGACAAACCACAGAGTCACATGATGATATGGGCTGAGGTACTGTACCTCAGCACCAACAGGTTCTCAACTGAGAAGCTAAAGAGGCAGGAAACAAATGCGCATACATTTACTGACAAATTCTGTAAGATGTTAGACTATAAACCTTTTAAGGAGAAGAGAAAAACTGCCTTTAATTTGAATGAATTCAAATCACTTGCCTTTGGCAGATAAGAATAAAGCCAAAAAAAAAAAATGTTACAAAAAAGATAAAAGAATAGCTTCAGTCTCCTGGTGTTTATTTTTAACATCAACAGAGAAACCAGAACGGGTGCAAATCCGTAGATTAAAGAGACATCAGAAAACTGCCTACACATCAGCGGCCATGAAAAATGAGTGGTGTTTTTTTCCATAGCAATTCCAACAGTTTCTTTCCCTCTTCACATTTCTGTTCCCTGTCAATAAAATATTGTCTATCAAAAGCCTTCAGATGTCCGTAAATACGAAAAATAAGAAAAACAACTCAGGCGTTCCAGGTAAAAACTCACAATTCCACAAACATATCCATTTATCCGCAGGAATTAGATATTATACCATGTCATTTTCTAATAAGCCAAACAGCCTGAATGCAGATGCAGAGTGGAAAAGGACACGATGATTAAAGGGCTTGTAGAAACACCTTTAGTAGAAGCAACTTGAAGTAATTGTCTGTCACATCAAAATGTAGGAATTTTGGCTATCCTCCTTTGAGATATTGCTCCAGTTCATTAAGGTTTGTGTGTTTTTCAGATTGTCAGATTGAGCCGTGGACTTTGACTGAGTTAGTGCTGACATGCCCATTTTTTCAAATATGGGCATCTTACACAAAGTCCAAGGAGCTTTACTTTGGTCTCAACGTCTCAAAGAACATTGTTCCAGATGTTTGATGCTTTGCTGAGGAGTAAAGATTCACATTTAAGTTGTGCTACCATATTAACTTTGTAGAAAGGAGGTTTTTCTCTGACAAATCTTCAAACAAACTCTTAAGTGTTTAGCCTTTTCATAATTTCAGGTGTGGTTAGGTTGGATGTTGTAATTCTGTAATGAACTGCAGAATCTGGCATCTAGGTCTTTGATTTTTTTTGTAGTTTCTTGCATTCGGCCCCCTCTTCTGAGAAGACCAGTAACTATCTTTAATGTTCACCACCTCTGAGTAATCTCTCTCACTGTAGAATGACGAATAACCATTTCCAGTTAGCGAATGGTCTTATAACCCTCCAGATTGATGGACAGCAACAATTGCTTCTCCCAAGATTATTGCCGATGTCTTTCTTGGTATCATTCCAACGTCTGAATGCTACAGACCCGCAGGCTGACAAAACATCTTCCTCTATACGGGTGCTCACGCATGGTGATCTGGTAATTAAATGCCTTTTTACATTTTACGTCGTGGACTTGGTGCAGCGTGGCTTATGTTGCTGTTTGAGGCTTGATTTGAATCTTTTTAAGACCTTGGAAGAAGGAGCTGTTTGTTTTCTGTTATGGAAAACATTATAATTGGAGGACTGTGTGCTTTCTTATTTACATCCTGCTTGCGTGTCCACAGCATTTCTATTTTTAAAATGTGCCCTAATTAAAAAAAAAAAGAGATGGAGTTGGGGGATATTAAAAAAACAGCTGTTTGGGGATAATGTTCCCCAATGTTTTGCTCTGTTGCAAATATTTGCAACATCAATAGCAGGATGGAGTACAAGATAAAGATCTAGTCCCTTTTTTAGACTCATAAAGATGAATGAACGTGTTGCACAGCACACAGTAAAACATTACAGTGAAGTCTGAAATGCTGCATTTGGGTTTGCTTAAAAAGGCAATATTTGTTGCCCAAAATTTGTTGATTTCTTTCACAGTAAAGGAAAAAAGTACAAACACATACACAAAGGATTTTACATTTCCTCTCTGCTTCTACGAGAAAAATTGATGAATGTGTCAAATAATTACAAATGTTGCCGCCACTTTTGGAATGTAGGAAACTGATTTAACCACATTAGCCAAACTTCTCCATTCCTCTCGTGACACAATCCCCAAAATTGAATTAGATATTATCAAGTCGGTCGTGAATAAGCTCTTACTAAAATGAGAACATCGCTCATCTGTGAGAAAATCATCTGTGTGGAGCGGCTAATTCTGTTTGTGCGTCATTAACTTGTTGGAACTGGTGTGAGCTGTTGGTTACCGGTGGGGCTTGGTAAAACTTTCACCACGGGGGGAAAAAAAAATAAGAATGTGGGTGTGATGACTTGCTCCCTTCTCAGGGACACAATCTTTACACTGGGGCTCAGAGGCTGGCAGCAGAAGATCAAATTTGCCTGCTTTATCTTATATTTCTCCAGCCGAATAAAGCGAGCAAACGTTATGGAGTTCAGCCCATCGATCTGATCCTGAACTGTCAGATCCACTAAGGCGAGTTCATTTAGTGGAGCGGGGCTTTGAAACACTCACCGTTCGACGCCGTGAAATCAATCGCCACCGTGAAATTAATCTGTGTCCTACAAAAGAGATTAAACGACATAAGGGGAAACATGGAAACCATCAATCATGTCAGATTACAGCACAGCATGTTCAAAGCTAGCAGCGGAGGGTAATTAAGCAGCAGGTTCTGTCTCCATCATGGAGCTGAGAGATAAACACGAGCTGCTGATCTTCTCAACTCCACACACTGCACATGACACAGGGAGTATGACCGGAACTCACCCGCCTCTGATGTAGTCCAGGAAGGACAACTCAGTGTCCACCAGGCAGGACAGGAGGGTGACCTGCCGGTCAGAAAAGAGGGAGAAAACAGTTCAGTTAAATGATACTTTATCTGTCCCTGTTTAAAAATATGTTTTTTCATTATTATTAACTCAAAAATATGCTATGCTTATGGAAAGATAGAAAAAATGAGAAACTTGAATTGTCGCAGAGAGTAAGTTGTGGTACAAATCTTAGAGAGTTGCCATCAACAGGTTGGTGTTTTTTTTTTTTTTTTGGTTATATAATCTCTTCTTACTAAGCACCACCTGTCTGAAGTCTCTGTCAGTGAAGGGTTAGAATTTTACCTGCGCCGAAATATAAATGAAAACTTTGCCTTTGCAGTATTTTGTCTGCCAGTGAGCTCACTCTTTCTGAGGTGATTAATGATTTTTTTCTCCATTTTGTTATGGCAAAGCAACCTAGAAATCTCCTCTTCAACTCCATTCCATTCGGGGTCAGATTCCAGATATTAGTTAGACTTTTGCTAAATCAGTAAGATGCTCTAACAGGTTATAAGTTCTGTAAAAATAGATAAATAAATATATAAAAAGCTAAAAAAGTCACCAGTAGAAGTCCTTTCAGCTGCATCCAATGCAGCAAAGAAAAATATTTCATAAGCCTGTGTCATACAAACTTGGTTAGAATTTACCCCAATTTTAAATTAAAAACTTTGGCAACATTTTCCCATTTCCAAGACTTACTTATTTAATCAGCTATTCAATTCCATGAATGTAATTTTGGGGATTTGGTCTGTTTTTATGTCTTTGTGAGTCTGTTGAACCTAACACCCACCTCCCATCCAAATTCAAATTCTGCTTTCTTCCCATATTCTCTCCCAAAAACTGGAGCTTGTAGGACTTTCACTCGTACTACATGACATTAGCTCCAATAATTACCTTTAAAACTGTCCGTTTCAACATCATTATAAAATCCATACCACAAACAGACCAGGGCCAGTGAGGGTGTAGAACATTTCCACACTGGTGAGGACAACGTTGTTATATCTAATTATATTTTTAGTTATGGAAAACTGACTATGTAACTAGGTCTGACTATGACTACGTAATACATGGTATGTTAGATAAGCTTTTTTTTTTTTTTTACCAGTATCAGATGCGGTCACAGTAACTGTCTTTTCACAGGAACTGAAAGTCCTAATCAGAGCCAATGACGTTGGAGAACGTTTCTAAATTTCATTAGATGTTAAAGAGGAGCCTCTTAAATTCAATTGAATATGTTCATTATCAGCATTACAAAGAGAGCCCTTAATGACTGAGAGAAATTATGTAGAACTACTTCTGGAATAGTATTCTCTAATCTAATTTAATCAGAATATTATCTGATAATGGAAAAAAAAAAGATTGTAAGCTAATTACAAGGGTGGTCGAGAGGTTTGGTACACGTGCATGTTCATTTAGATGACTTCCTTCCCAAATATTACATAAGCCTTATTTCATTTAATTGTTTTCTATTTTCATTGGGAGAGTGAACAGCAGAATGTTTGCTGTAATAATAAGAACATCACAACAAAGATTCAAGGCGACAATTTCATTATAACAAGAAAAAAAACGCTATAGACAGTGAGATTTCTATATACTAAAATAAGAGGTCAAAGGTTTGTTTTCAATTGACACGATACGGGAAATGAACACTTTTGTTCATATCTGCTGCACTGGACCAAATGCTGCTATTTTCTCTTTTTCTACATTTCAAAAGTTTCTAATTGTAAAAAAACAAACAAACAGACAAACCATTGTATAATACAAAGTCTGCTTGAATCCAACAAGCCCACACACAGTGCTGCTTTGGAAGTTTTAGTTTCCCTGTGAAAGAGACACGAGGGAGGCCATCCAATCAGAGTGTGACCTCATCCACATGTCTCTCATGCAGCGTGTGCTTATTAAAAGTGTGAACGGGCAAAGAAAACCCAGATTAGCTGTTGTCAGAGAACCAAAAAAAGATTATGTACATGCATGAAGTTTCCAGGAGTCTGAATTTAGTTTTACATGGGCTAAAGGAATGAAACAGAATGTGACACATTTACCTGAACTGGAAATATTTAAATGGTATAAAATATTCTCTTAAATTACATATTTTCTCTTATTTTACACTTATAAGGAAGTATAAATTGCGTACTTAAACATAATCATAGAAAGAGTCAAACAGATTCAACTCACCGTTCCTGAGTTTTGGTACTTTTTCTTCTTCTTTCCCATCTTTTTTGGATTTAACACCTGTGGAAGAATCACAGTCTTGAAGCCTAACCCATGTGGCTCCTTCTTCGAAGAGCTTAATTAACCAATATCATCTAGCATTTTATGGCCTTTCAAATGAATTATTGAATCAGGAGATTATTCCATCACCACATTAAAGAAAGAGCATTTGGTAAATAATTAATTGGGAATTAAGAGTAATTATGAATTCACTTTAGACAGTTTCTCTTTAAAACTCAATAACATGCTTAAAAATGTGCCTCTGAAACTGCTCCCATGGGTGAAACTACTTTTTATATGTCTACTGTCCAGTGGGACGTCTTCAATATGAAGAAAATCTATTACAGAGCTCAGAGCTGAGAGGGGTGGAGACAACATTCGTCAGAAAGTTGATGATCACATGGAACTCAGCGCGTTTAGGTAGAGTCTGCCAGTCTCTGCGCTATAAGATAAAGGTTTTGCCTCATAAGCAGCTTTAGGCAGCCTTAGCTTTCAGTAATTAAAGCTCCGACTTCAAAAAGCTGATGGAACAGGACGTGGACTGCTTAAGGGCCAGAGGAAGGCTCAGAATTCAGTCTTTGAGGAACCGGTGATGGGCTGCTATCATTCACTCACATCAGTGGGGAGGGAATCAAAACCTCAGTATTCCTCCTCCTAAATAGGATTACTTACAGACGGAACCACATAGGAAACGCGGTTTGCTGAAAGCATTCTTACATGAGCCCTACAGAAGCATTTTCAACCCATTTAAAATGCATGAGAAACAGACATTTTGTGAAGAATTTTGAAAGAATTTACATATGAGTCTGCCAGTTTTGGTCTGTCTGTAATTGAGGTGTCCGGTTTGATAAAACATCTGACAAAAAAAAAAAAGTTGTGATTATAACACTGTTACAGTGACACTAATAAAAACTTTGTGGACGAATGAAAATCACTTATTAAAAATAATGAATGAAAATCATGTATTAATATGTATATATAGAATAAAATATGATGCATACAAACACTTGAGATTTCAAATTTAGAAATTTAGAAGTTACATGAGCTTGCCCTGACCTTCTGTAGAGAGAAAGCTTTTAGGTTTTTGACACTAAACTCTGTGTCCAGTCCCACGAACAGCTGAAAGTGGACAGCTGACAAACGTCACTTAAAATGCTGGACAACTGAAAGTTATTTTGAATTGGAGGAGGAGAAATTGCAATTGATTTTAAAGTTAACTGAAAAAAGCAAATGAACGTGTCTGCCATGAACTCTGTCTGCTCCTTAAAGCTAAAGCTATGGTGCAAGATTGAGATGGGAGTAAACTCCAAAGATCCCCAACATGACGTAATTTAGCTTTAGTCTTTTATTTAATGACCTACTTATTAACAGTCGATTGGCTTATGCAAGAATTTTTTTTTTTAAATAAACTGAATCCTTTTGATGTTCTCTGTTGGTTTTTCAGAGGCCAGAGACGAGGTTTTCTGGAAAATTAGGAAGGAGCCTGTCATTTCTCCAGAAGAGAATGAAATTGGGTCCTGGTGTTGCTACAGAAAACCAGAACAACACTTGTTAGAGATAAAAATAAAAAGGAAGTAAAAAACAAGAGCATCTTAAGTAAACTTGAACTGCTAATTAGTGTATAATCACTGGCAGATTCCTCCTTGTCAGCATGTGCCGGACACAACATTAAAGCAAAGTTCTTAACTTCATGTAATTAAGTCATCTGGATCAATAAGAAAATGCTGAATAAGAATGAAGTGGTAATGAATTCCCAACGGAGAGGAAGAACAACCAGCTCATCCTGGAGAAGTGCAGAGATCAGTTTAGATGTGCTCTGACTGGAAACGAAGTCCCAATCTTTCTGCCTCAGCACATCTGCACCTGCATTTGATTTGATTGAACCTGTGCTGGAAAAATGATCGCATTGTATTGCACAAAAGTGTAACTGATGTGGGAATTTCAACTGCCAAGCTCACATTCAGTTTTTCTATGATGCCTGTTTTCCATACTAGGTATGGAAAAAAACCTAAAAAACTCATACAGCTTATGTGTATTCCTCTAAATTGTATGACCCAACAGAAGTGTTTCTCTGCAGAGACATCCTGAGACTGTGTTCACCTTGTTTTGTTTTTATCAGTCATGATTATGATGCGTTTGGGTGTCAGTGAACGGTTTAAGCCCGTCTTTGCTGGGCTGTTTGGATGTAAGGCTATGCTATGCTAGAGCAGTTTAATATTTTTTATGATATGGTTTTGCTCTGGTGTCTTACACCAGGAAAGCTCAAGTTATTCCACCACCGTATGCCTTCAGCTGAATCCATTTGTGGTTTAAAACGAATGCAAAACACAGTTAATTGAACCTGTGCTAGAAATTCCCTGCAAGCTCGTGATTAAATGCACTTACTGTATATTTGTGTAACCTTCTAAAATGTTAAAGTCTTTCCAAATCAAATACATGAATGAATCATTCCTGTTTTTAGTACTGCTATTATACTATAGCTATTAACCTGCCTTCATTCCTCTGTGAATTAGCATATCTCGCTTTAATTTAAAACACTACCAGATGCTTTTAACCTGACTCTCTTGTTGCTAAATTAAAAAAAAATCATGAGAAAGTAAGAACAGCTGTTAGAGCATAACATAAGCGCCCTGGATGTGATTTTGCTACAGAAATTCCCAGTTTAGATAAAAACTAATGATGGATACGCTACATTAGGATTGTCCGGCTCCGGTCCCTGAGTGGCCGCTGTCCTGCAGGATTTAGAAGGTTCCCTGCTTCAAAATATCTTATTCACGACAGCCTGCCAATAACAGGCTTGCGCAGAGCCTTTGAACTGATCCATTTAATGGGAAACAGTCGTGTTGGACCAGGGAAACCTCTGATAACCTGCAGGACAGCGGTCAGGGGGACCGGAGATGGACACCTCTGCACTGGACACTGAAAGAGTATCGAGTCTGAATGGAGCCTGAGATCCCATTAAGTTCCCTCAGGTGGTGGCTTATTTGAAACTCTTTGAAAATTCTTCTTTAAATTTAGATTTCACTTCTCATTTTGATAGGAACTCAAAATAATTGTTTAAATCGAAGCCCACAATTCCCACAGCCAGTTCGGATCCTTGTGGAGCATCGGCAGCCTACTCAGTTGTTACCAGCGAGAAGAAAAGGGGAATATGGCACACGGTGTCTTCTCTCTCAGAGATCTGACTGCTGTGTGCAGACACTCTGAGCTTTCTTGAACTCTTTATCATCAGAGTTGTTCCCGCTCCCATCGGATGCCTCGCTCCACTAGAAATGGAAACAGCGGCGGAAAATGGTGGCCCCCTAAACGAGAGGCGCCACATCTGTGAGAGCGGATTTCAGTGTTTCTGTGGAGTGTGGAGCTTTTATTTCTGCCTGTGCCACGAGCCTTTGTAGCCCGCGGGAGTGGTTTTTTGATGTGGTGATGGGATGAGGCGCTCCCGGGCTCTTTTCAGGCCTAATCTGAATTAGGGAGAGCTTTAGGGTCAGGAGGTTATCGACTAGGACTATGAGTAGAGGTTTGAGTGTGTGTTTGTGTGTGTTTGTGTGTGTGAGTGAATAATCTCACCTCGTAGACATGGAACTGCGACTGGCTTCTGGACATTTCTCTGTAGCTGGTGCTAAATTCACCGATGAAGTCGTGGCTGTAAAAAAAAAAAACAAGAGATCGGATCAGATTTCCCCCTTAGACTATTTAAAATGAGATGAAATAGTGCCAGGCCAAAACATAGTACTATCACTAAGCTCCTTGGTCTCTGGAGTCTTGGGTGTAGCAGTCAATTTGATCGTTTGGTGGAGATAATCAGAGCTGTGTAATCCGGGTCAGGTTTTAATGGGCGCTCAGGGCAACGTGCCCTTGAAATGTCACAAAAAAAAAAAAAAACGTTCAGTGAATAATGAGAGGCAAATTGTTCCCCTGAAAGCTGAAAATGTATTCGTTTCATTTGCTAAGCCTTATTTCTTATTTCATTCTCCGGCTGACACTCGGAGGGTAATTAACAGTTAGCAGAGCACGGTGTATTTAAAGTAGACACAAAGATGGTCACATACAGAGCTCCAGAATGCTAATTCCCGCTGAATTTACTCTACCGGAAGAAACAAGAGCCGGTTTCTAGGTGTGATCTGTGACTATAATCCCAAAAGCCCTTTTCTAATTTCCACATAGGATCAGAGTTGTTCTTATTTTACGCGTCAAAACAATAACAACATTGATGTAAATAACTGAAAGTGGTATTAAAGTAGTGGAAAAATCAAACAGCATCACAGCACACACTGCTGTAGTGACATTACAGATTTCCTTTTACACACGGGGAGAAAAAAAACTGTCTCCTCACCCTCCATCTCTGTCCCAGTCGTACACCTCCACCTTAATGCTCCTGCAGAGGGACAGAAAAAAACACTCATATGGTTTATATCCATCTCGACCAGTGCTCCCTTGTTCTTTAAATCAATTTTAGATAAAGCTACACAATCTTATTTTGCTTTTCAGCTATGGAATCTATGGGAAAATGATCCTTTTATGACCCATGGGTTTATCACACCCGAGAAGTCAGAAGTTCTGTCAAAGTTGTTCAAATCTAACTTGTATCTATTTTTTCATCTTTACTACCATTTATTACTTTTTCCGGGGGGGGGGGGGGGGGGGGGGTCAGTGGCTTTTTTTTTGAAGCTTGAAAAACATTAAGAACATGGATTCCTGTATGATTGTAGATATCCAAAATAAGAGAATTGTATATGGGCAACAATTCAGCAGAACACCATTTAGTTCTATATTATCTTATCAGAGGGTTAATATAAAAAAAAAAAAAGTTTTCAAGTGTACAATAGAGCAGAGCTCCCCTCTGGAACCTTTTTCTCATTTTGGGTTCAACAAGCAAAGATCCCACTTTCCATATTTTTAAGATGAGACTTTCTGATTAAGGCTGGTCCTGAATCTGCAAACTTAGTGATCCCATGCTCCTATTTAAATCTATTAAACCATATTGATATCATGATTAATTCTGCCTTTATTAATCTGGATTTTTTTCTTCATTTGCGTTTGAATTTCTTTTTTTTGCTGCCATTATCTCTTGTTTGGACCAGTATGATTAAAATCTATCTAATAAAGGATATCGGTGAAGTTAAAGTTGGTTGTGAGGCTAAAGTCACATGTTTGGATGAGACCACTAGCATCGACCTGTGGCATGTCAAAGTTTGGGTCATTTTTGGACCATTTTGCATTGTTTGAAACATTGCAAAACATTACAAGGCATCATGGAACTTTTCTGTAAAGTTTTTTGATTCGTTTTCTGTACCGTCAGGTACATAGCAGCGCCTCATCTCATTCTGCTGTTAGAGAGTTCTTGTTAGAGTTTGCAGGTATGATAGCACCATAACTGTGAATCATCAGGGGGTTGGCTCGGTATTTTCTGACAAAAAAGCACGACTTAATGGCATTTCGAGATTCAAGTGTTAGCCCCTTTCTCTTTCTTTCTAATCAAATAATTTATTCAGCACTTGTGTTTGCAGGTCTCCCGCTGTGTTGCTTTGTACCTGTCATAGTCTCCGTTGCACAGCGCCCTGACAGGAATTTTAAAAGCCTGCCACACTGGATCCAGAGTGTTCTTCACCACTTCTGTTTTGTGGCAGATGGTATACCTGAGACACACACAAAGGTGTTAACAGATGATAGATTTGTCTCAAAACCCAGAACAAAACCAAAAGGGCATGAAACTGTGAAGGTATTTTGGACAATTTGCTTCTAAAAGGACTTCCTTTCCTTTTCATGTGGCATCTAGACTGGCTCTTTGTTACTAGGCTGCTGTTATACCCTGTGGCCAAACATTTGAGCTGCATCAGTAAATAGCCAGCTCCACTGAAAGAGAAAGTGTTAAGTGCGGTGCTGGAGTCAACTTGAATAAAAACGTCTGCAGGGCAAAGAAACTCTGACCTCCACTCACAAAGTTCTGGATTTACTCCATCTTATCCTTCTTTTGCCAATTGAGGTTTTCAACAAGTCGACTCTGTTGTGCTTCATAACCTCATCCACTGTCTGTTCATGATGGATGCAGGACATTTATGTCCATCATCAGGCATTATATAACGTCACAGTAAACTGTTTATAGACTCTATCTTCCGCATGCCAGCTTTTGGAGCATGAACAATTGTGCTCATAGTCCATTTGCAATAGCTGTAATTCCTCATTCGGCAAATTGATTTCCACAAATAGGATGGAGAACTTACGAGCCATCTTCATTGCTGCGGTAAAAAACTAGAAATGGGTCCGATTTTCCAAAGAAGTCCTTCTTGTCCAGCTTGTTGCCACAAAACTGTAGCATCACTGATTCCTGAAGAGAAGGAGGGAATGAAAATGGAACATGTCCCACAGCTTCAGGTCAGCTAATAGCACACACTGTCATATTCTGTTATCAGAAGCATTATTACTGATTATTCAGAGATATATAGCACATCGGAGCCCTGTCAAGCCTTCGGTTTAGAATTTTTTACATTTACCAGCTCCGTGTATATATTCCAAATCAAGTTTCTGAGGAAATATAATGTCGGGTAATATATGAAACGTTCATTCATCTTGTGACCCCTCTGAAATAAAAATAAAAAAGTTGGGAAAAAAAAGTCAATTTCTACAGTTACCAAGAGAACAAAGTGGGCCTGGAAAGGAAAGAGTTTTTTTTCCCCAGAAATAGCTTTTTTTTTTATAAACGCTTAAAGGGATTTCAGTTCCTTCAAAAGAAAGAAGGAATAGAAAACATTCAGTCAGTCCCAGCTCAGAGTTCAAATGACGATTTTATTCAAACTGCGGACTGCATCTTGGCCTAAAATCCGGCCCTCTTGAACTGGCTGGCTGCTAGCATCATGAATAAAACGTTTTGCCTACAGGGCTAGCAGACATTAAACAACTCTAAGCCTCCTGTGTGCCAAAAGCATGACAGATATTTTAAATAAATGCAGAAACATAAAGAAAGTCTATGTTGTGCTGCCATCATGGTTCTCAGTAGCATAATAATAACTATACACACACACAAAAAAATGAAAAAAAATTATACAAATATATATATACAGTATATATATATATATAGGATTCTCACCCTGCAGTTGCTCAGCTCCTCAGCTCTCACTATAAAGGTCCCACATTTCTTTCCAGGGATTCCACTGGGAAAGGACAAACAGACCATGTCAAATATTTTTTCCAAATGACAAATAAAACTAAACAGATTTCAGCTTCTTCTGTACAAATACATTTCCTGACAACCTAAGGCAAAGTGTAAATGAAAAAAAAAATATTGCAGTTATTTGCTTATCAATAAAGTCTTCCATCAAGTTAAAAATGCTGGAGCGAAGCAAACCAAAATATCTAGAGGTAAAATTATTAGCTCAATTAATATTTAATGCTAGGAAGATATTGACCCAATCCATCAGTCCCTGTCACACATTCTGGGCTCATTTTTGTCAGCACATGTTGGTTTATCACCCTGTATTTTTGTCCCCTACAAAGCCGTGCTGTTGGAATACCTGCAGAGTAAGCCAAGTCTAGTCCAAATACAACATCTTCTAAATAAGGCAACCTCTGAAGAGCAGCATCCATCCTTGCAAGAACTACACATACTATTAATCATGCTTAAACTTGCCGAGCGCACTAATGCTTCTGCACATGATCCACCCACAGATGTGTGCTGATGGCTGCTTAAGGGCTTTCTCTTTCAAAGTTTTTATTTTCTTGTAATAATCTGACTACAATACAGATAGCCAAAGTCGGCATTAAGTCATTTTGCTTGGATCCACCAATATGTTTTCTCTTATTTTCCATTTCATCACTTTTACTTGACATTTAGGGATATAGAAAATGTACAATGATTTTCAAAAGACTTCCTGATCGCTTGTAGTGATTTAAACCATAGAATACTAGTTTTTTCCACCCTTTTATCATTTTTTATGTTGTGGTGCCTGGTGTAATAAAGTAGATTGAATCAATAGAAAGATGTTGCCTTTCATATAGATTTATCGATGTATTATCCACATCCTCCAAAGTGGTAATTCAGACCTAAATATGCATTATGAGCCACGTCATCCCATCTAAACCCAGGTAGTTGGACTTTGTACGACACTGTCCACGTTTTTGTATCAAAGTTTCTGCATCAGCGTCAAAGGTTCATTTAAAAATGAATAGATTTCATCATGAAGATTAACTATTTCTAGGTATCATAGTTTTTCCTCCAATGGCTCACAGCTGTCGGCGCAATTATATAATGACAGAATTTGAAATGCATTTTTAAAACCCTCTAAAAGTCTCAAACTGTCAAACTGCTTCTTATTTTTTCAATTTTTGAAAAATATTTTTGCAGAAGCAGTTGTTTCCAAATGACTGAGCATAATTTTATCTGACATCAGTACTTAGCATTTAGTTTTTAAAACTAAACTGTTTTTAACAGATCTCTGGTAGATATTTTTTGAAGTATTGCAACAGTCGGGAGGTGCATCTTACATCTCACACACACACACACACACACACACACACACACACACACACACACACACACACACA